TGGGCCTTGACTCCTGAACGCTGTTAGAACTATTACTTAGAAGTGCATTACCCCAAGGAGGTTCATCCTGGCTGATGTCTGTCCACTTGCTCCTTTTCTGAGGGAGAAGATTATGGGCTGGCTGAGTCATAGCGGGACTTGGACCAGTAACCCCTGAGTGGTGTCATCAAGAACAGCAGAGCATTTGGCCTCTTTGCCAGTTCATATGCTGTGAGCTGGCCTCGTTTTCACTTGATCTGTTCCAGCGTGGAATAATCTAATCTCCGGGCTCGCCCCTCGAAGGGAAGATTCACGGGTGAGGTCATCTCATTTGCTGCTTTTCCTGATCGGCTCCAGCACTGGCAGCAAGTAGAGTAATGAGGCCTGTTTCTGAGGACTTTCTAGATTGTCCATGCCGCTGTCCTCCCAGAGTCGGGAGGTGTGGCTTTATGTTCTGTCCTCCCTCCTTCCCCCTTCACGGTTTGGGGGACAGATTTTATAAACCATCAGCCATCACAGCTGCAGGCCACCCAGTAGCCACCCTTCTCCCACGTAAGCTGTAGTGACCAGGAAAGAAAAATAATCAAGTCCTCAGTGAAGCAGACGGGCTCATCCCAAAGCTCCCTGGTGGGGAGGCGCTGACCTGAGCGGGGTCCTCGCCTGGACGTTCTGGGTTTGTGAGGCCGAAGAAGGACCACGATGGACTAATTTCATTCCCTCAGAAACTGAATGGAAACCTGCCTGTGCCCACAATGAGGCCGCACAGGCTCACCAGATCCCATTACATCAGCTCCCAGTGGGAACCTGGGATATCCTAGGCTCATCACAAGCTCCCTTTGGCATCTGAATGTCTAAGAAAATATCAGTGAATTCGCTGTGAAGGCCGGTTGATAACAAAACCTTTCAAAATGTGTTTTGTGAGAGGAAACGAGCGCAATGATATCTTAAAATGGTGTCCAGATGGGCAGCCCCGGTGTTTGGATAGCCAGGGCATCATTCCAAACCTGAGACTCTCCCAAGGATTAGAATCCCGAAGACTTCCATTTCTTGCTCAGTTGTTTGGTGGTCAGATAAACTTAACCCCCCTGTTTTGAACTGCCTCAAGATAATATCCACTTCCCATATCAACAAGAAAGAACCTGTCAGGTGAAGGGATTGAGAAGTACGGATTGGTGGTTACAAAGCAGTCAGGAGGATGTAAAGTCTGGCAAAGGGAATATAGTCAGTAACATTGCAGTAACTGTGTACGGTGTCCGATGGGTACAGATTGATCGGAGTGATCACGTTGTCAATTATATAAATGTCTGATCACGGGGTTGTATACCTGAAACTGATAGAACATTGTATGCCAACTGTGATTGAAAAAATAAAAAATTGTTTAAAAAGTGAAAGGCAAAAAATATTATAATCTTGAGAAAAGGGAGGCTTTGTACTCCAGAAAAAGAAAATAGTTTAAAATCTAAAATAACCCCACGCTCTTTTAGAAAAGTTAGTCCCCCACACCGGGAGGATTTTGTAGCTCTCGCCTGCAGCAGGAGTGACCTTGTGGCAATTCCACCGGTTTTTCAGGGCCTTTGGCTCAGCAGCTCCGGGCCTTTCTTTAACCAGGAAGCTTTGTTGCTGCAAATTCTTCTTCCTGAGGCCACAGCCTGTGGAGTTGGGGCCAGACCACGTCATCCCAACTGGTAGCGTGCTGTCCTCTTGGACATGAGCAGGGCAGCATTTGGTCCTCAGGCAGTGGAACACAATGGCTTGGACCTATTTGTTCAGAGGGGATTTAGTTTACTTACTTTATTTTTTAAATATACTTTGATTGATTTCAGAGAGGAAAGGAGAGGGAGAGAGTGATAGAAACATCAATGATGATGTGCCCTCAACCGGAGTCAAACCCAGGACCCTTCAGTCCACAGGCCTACACTCTGTTCACCGAGCCAGACTGGCGAGGGTGGATTTCGTTTACTCTGGACCAAGCATCATTTCTGACTCAGTCTCAGTCTGGATCTGATTTTTCAGGCGAATAAATTCTAATGTAACATCTGATCAGGACAACTTTGGCACTTGGATAAAAATGAGTCCCGCAGCAGTTTGTCAAGTTCGGCGAAGATGGATTGACTACGGCAGCTGCTAGAGGTTTCTCCTAATGCTAATGAAACGTTGACGAAGACTCTTCGACTATCTTGGTTCCTCTTTCCTAAGTGGGATGGTACAAATTGGGAAGATCCAGCTTGGGAAATGGGTTTGAATTAGCATGGGCTCACAGCTTATGGAGCAGGAGTTGGAATCACACTAGCCTGCGTGTGCATTCTGACTCCATTATGTGGATGTGTAACCCTGGGTATGTTACTGAACCATTCAGAGCTCAGTTTTTCATCTTTAAAATGTGGCCAACGCTGGTCTTGCAGGGCAGTAGTGAGGATTAAAGGAAATAATGTAGCACTAACAGGGACAGTCACACAGCAGGCTGTGAGCCAGTGGTGATGCTCAAGGCTTTTGATAGAGTCGGCGGCGGGGGAGCGGGGGAAGGCCACTTTAGGGGAAGCCACCTTGTTGGTTTGTCACTGGAAGTGTTATCGACTTTTACATCTTCCTATTTGAGAGGCAGAGTGGTGGATGAGAATGCAGAGTGTGGCTTTGGTGCCAGGGGCATGAGGTCAGTGTTGGTCTTGCTTGTTGGTCTCGAATGTGTATTAATGACATGGCTCTCTGAACCTATTTCCTCAGGTCTGAACTCTCCAAGTTGTTGTGAGGAATAGCACTGATGGTGTGAGGTGCCCCACACTGTACCTGACACATGAGAGGGGCTCACTGATGATGCCATATTTGCCCATGTAGTCTTCGGTCTCCAATCATCGTATTGCAGGCTAATTGTTTGTGGAAGGAATGGGTGAAGCAGCAGTCTTATACATGGGGGCATATGCACAAAGGCAGGCATTATAAATTATTTGAAGATTTAAAAGAATAGACATCTTATAAGTATAAGTGGTATTTTTTTTTCACATTTTGTATTATATCTGAAGCTCAGTTTATTATCCAGTAAATGTGGTAGCTACATGATCATTTCCTGCCAGTTAGATATGTAAGGTTGTTGATGGTTTTTTTTAGAATGAATACAATTTTTATTTGAATGCCATTACAAACTACTGACACATATGAATACAGACTAGGTTTTAGGATATTGAATAATATATAATAGATTAAAATTATTTGTGATTTTGTTATATTTGGGGAAGTTAAAATATATTTTAAAACTTTGACTCTATCCTTAAGCAGAACTAGGAAGGAAGATAATCAAAATAAACAGATATATAACTGGATGTGAAAAGGTTAGCTATGGCAGAAAATATGTCCAAATCTATCAGTTACATATAGCTTCAAAAATAATTTCATGACAACCTTTGTCACTTAGGACCAAGTAAACCTCTCTAATAATCTTGAACGAGTTTGTCACCATCATTTTCCTATTACCTATACTAACAAGTTATAAATCCATTTTAATTACAAGGAGTAAACAACACTTTGTTATACCACTTCGATGAGCGTAACACCATTTTTAATACAGTATGACTTTGACACCTTTGAATTAAAAAATGACCCAACTTGAGCAAGAGAGAAATGAAGTTGGTAATTATCTGGCCAGTGCAGGTTATGTGCTCAGTTGGATCAGTGAGACCTCCAGGGGATCTTGACCTCAATTGGAGTATCAGCTGTGGGCATGGCCAATGTGCAAGAGATAATTGCCACCTTTATAAGCCCATCCTTTATAGATTTGGGGCTTACTGGCTGTTGCAATGAAGTAAAATCTCATGTACATATACATTTGGAATATTTACTGCTTTGAAGTGGGTGAACCCACAATTAGTCCCTAGATAGTCCCTAGAATTAGAAGATGCAGTGAAGCTGTTTAGATGTTTTCATTTTGTTTTTCTTCTTTTAAATTTTATTATTATTTTTAACATATTTTTATTGATTTCAGAGAAGAATGGAGGAGAGAGCGATGGAAACATCAATGATGAGAGAGAATCATTGATCGGCTGCCTCCTGCACAACCCACACTGGGGATTGAGCCCGCAATCCAGGCATATGCCCTGACCCAGAATTGAATGGTGATCCTGGTTTATAATCAACACTCAACCACTGAGCCATGCCATCTGGGCTGCTTTTCTTCTTGACTGAAGCCCCTAAGAATTGTATGTTGAGTTCAGCCAGATATATTTGGATCTCGTTGAGTTTTCATTTCTTTCAGAAAAGTAACGTATGTATGCTAACTAGTGCTTCAAGGAAAGCTTCCTGATCCTCTTAGAAATATGCCAAGGAATTCTAGCAGAATATGGGTTCCCCTTATACCAGGAAAGGGGCTGTGCATTTTACAGTAGTGATTCCTTCTACAGACTTCCCGTTAAACATTTCCTCCTTCTCTTTGCAGTAGATCATGTATGAAGTGGTGGGAGTTTTTTTTTTTTGTTGTTGTTGTTTTTTTGTTTTAGATAAAAAAGATCTAATTGACATGAATTCTTTTTGCACTAAAGAAATACTTCATACCTGGAGTTGCTCCACTGAACTGGCATGAGAAATACAAAGTCATAGTGTATTAGGACCCTGGAAGGGACCTTCGGAGCCATCTGGTCGACCCCTTTATTTTACAAATGAGATACAGGTGGGCCACTTGCCCGCAGCCTGTCAGTCACACAGGGGGCGGGTGGCACAGCTGAGAGAAGAACCAGGGCTTCCTGGTGCCTCATTTCTGTGCTCTTCCCCATGTTGACTGCCCTCAGCATTTACTTTTGTTTGCAGTTGAGCTTTCTGGCATTTGTTGGGTTTGCATAGTTTGTTAAGTAGAAAATCACCAATTTTTTTAGTGTATGATTGATTGAGGTGGAGCCAGGATACTGTGTAACAGAGATACTTGATGGAAGAACTTGAAATCAAATAGATTTTAACTCAGAGTTCCTTTTCTCATAACCAAAAATGAAGTCTTTGACTACATAACCAAATGGCTCATAAATATGTTTTTGATCTTTCAGAACAGAAGACTCGTTAACAGAAGATGACAAGAGGCGGTATGTTTGATAGTGAAGCTGGCTTTAATTTGAATAATTTTGGCCACATCTCATGGATGTAATTTAACGTGCTTTAATTTGACTCACACATGTTATTTAACACTGTAGCACGCTATCAATAGAGTAGAGATTCTACCAAGACAACTTTTGGCATGGAGTGTGTGATCTGGAAAAGAACTTGCCCAGGGTTCATTATCTTTGCCTCCTTCAAGCAAGTTTAGTTTTTGTCCTATGCACGCGGCCTGTAGTAGTTTTCACCCTGTGGCCATTGTGTGTGTTATTCTTCCTAACTGGGTGACCTCCCTTTATTCTTTCAGCCTTCTCCATCTCCCCATTCCTCCTCTGGTTAACTCTCCCTGCTCTCATTACTCCTTAGCTCTCTGTCTCGGAATTTTATATTTATGTCTACCTATAGCTGAAATGTTTTTGGATGTCCATAGCATTGAATATCACTTTGGCCCCTGGGAATTCTCGATAAATATTACCTCACTCCACCGATATTTATTTCTGTATCTCTTTTCTTCTTTGCTATTGTAAGTAAAATATCTAAAATTTCTACTAACTTAATACAGCTTTCTTTTATATATGTAGCTCCTTTTAATAGAAAATAAATTATATTTCCAAAGGCAATAACAGTCTGAATTCTACTTTTGAAAAAAACAATGAGTTATTTTAATAATTCTTTAGTTGTTTGAATTACTCCATGCTTCTATTGCTTTCTTCAAATATAAAGTTCCATCGAAATTGGTCTGATTTTTCTATATCTGCTTCTTGAAGAAACTATGGAGGAGTGTATGTTGGTCTCCCATCTGAAGCTGTCAACATGGTATCCAATCCAACAAAGACAGTTCAAAAAAGTAAGCAAAATCACGTGATGTTTATTTTCTCTAAAGATGTATTTTGTGTTTTGTGAAAAATATGAAATTTAAATTTCAGCCTGCTTATCTCCCCCTACATATTACTGAGTAGCAGGGAGCCAGGCCTCTGGTCTTGGAATCATTTGTTGAAATTACTACTCCTATGACGAGAGCCATAATTTAGCCTCTGTCTGTGGTTATGCTCCAGGGGTATTGGTATGTTTCATTTTTAATTAATTTCAGTGGTGATCAGTGTGAAAATGGAAGTTAATGTGTCTGTCAGTTTACGGGTTTTTTTTTTTTGTAGGACATACAAGTAAATTCTTATATGTATAACACACAAGATAATCAGTCTGGCAATTAGAGGAAGAGTAACTGCCCATTGTACAATTAAATGAAGTAAGGTTAACAGTAATTATAAAGTGAACGAGGTCCTTTTGATAATAGGTGTGACTGCAACTTTGTAGATAGCTTCTTGCTTAAGTCAACTTTTAAGTGAGGGTTGTGGTAGAGAGTGCTGATTTACTGGGCACTGCACAGTTGTCTCATGAGTTTTAAAGAGCTATTCATATATCTAATGTGCACACAAGACTGTATGGCATTAATTTTAGCATACGTTATTTATTTGTTCTTCATTGCTCTTTCTCTACTTTATGATTTGACTTAGCAAATAATGTATGTCACGATTCTTTGTGCTTTTAGGAGAAACTAGAATATGTTCTGAATATTTAACTTTTCTTAATTTTCTCTTTAAGATTAGAAGAAAATATCACGACAATAATCAAGAGGTACTGTATATTTTTCTAAATAATTGGATATGCTTAGCCTTGATAAATGAAGTATAGGTATTATTTTACTGTGTATTTCTAAGAAATCGTGGACTTCAAGATTAGGAGGGAGGGTTCATCTTGTGTGCAAATCTATGGAATGGAACATGTTTTATTGTAAAGAGTCTTTAATGATCAGATCAATTTCTTTTGCAGGTTTTAAAATGTTTTTTATTTTCTTTCAACTGAAACTTAATTTATTTAATACAAGCAAGCCAAGAGTTTACCAAAAACAGTGAGATTTCACTCGTCATTGCCTAAAACGTTACGGGGCTAGGACCTTCTAGACAGGGAGCGACTAGAGAGGATGGGGCTGGGAAATAGGTTAGGATCAACATTAAGTGTTTTATGACAGCCAGGAATTAGTTAATGTACATAGAGGAGATGTGTCAGTACCAAGACTCCAGTGGAGATGGGCAAGCCATCAGTGCCAAGTTATGTGGGAAGGAGTAGTAAAATCACAGGCCAAGTTTACTGCTCGGATATCATAAAGCATGTTCAATGTAGACAGAAGAAAACATTGTCTAAAGGATGCACCATGGACCTCGGGTCCTGGTGAAGAGCTTGGAGTTAGAATGAAATAAGATGAACAAGAACAGGTGAAAATAGCTTCATTTATTACCTACCCCCAGTCTCTGAAACGTACCCAGCATCCTTTTGGTAGAGGCAAGAGCCTCAGCCCACCTGGTCTAACAACACATTTGATGGGTGGATCCCACTGCCTTTCAGTCGTGCTGGATAACATCTTGCCTCTTAATCTCCAGTGATCAGGAATGTCCTGTCTCCTAAGATTCCTGAGGTAGCCCATTCTCTTTTGGGAGCCATACAGCCTTGGGTTTGAATTCAAGCTCTTTTACCTATGAGCTGGGCAAAGTGTCCCCCCCGCCCCCGACCCCTTTATTTTTTATTTTTTAAAAATCCTCACCCATAGACACGTTTTTAGAGAGAGGGAGAAGAGGGGAGAGGAGAGGAGAGGAGAGAGAAGAGAGAAGAGAGAAGAGAGAAGAGAGAAACAGCAATGTGAGAGAAAAATATTAATTGGTTGTCTCCTGTATGTGCCCTGACTAGGGATTGAACCCACAAGCTTTTGGTGTAAGGAATGGCACTCCAACCAACTGAGCCACCTGACCAGGACTACTTCCCCTTTGTTGTCTCCATTTTTTAATCTATAAAATAGAATTAATGCTTAGCAAGACAAATTGCTATTGCACCAATTCTTGCTGAAGGACAGTAGTGGAGTTGGTGTTTGGGATGGGGGAGAGTCACAAAATAAGCTCATAGATGGAGACAAATAAGCTTTCCCACTGAGGATGGGGACTCAGTCTTGGGTAGCCACTTCTTCAAAGATTTTCTCCTCAAGGCAACAGCATCATGGAGCTTTATTCCCTCGTGCCCATGATCACATTAGGGTGTTGAGTGTTTTTAGGAATTTGATGGAGGTTTTCTATTCCTAGTATTTTTTAATAGAGTTCTAACCCTCCATTTAGATCTCTAAATTCCCTGCCGGTTTCCCCCTTTTGCAGTAGTACTTTAATTATTGGCATCAATTAAAAAAAGGTAATGTCGTTGAAAGAGAGCATTCCTGAAAACAGGGTGTATTTCAGAAAGCAAGGGAATAGAGTGGGTAAAGGGACCACGTAGACAGGTATCAGGCGACTCGGTAGCTCTGTTAGCGCAGGACCTTAGACAAATCCTTTACCTTCTTCTCTCAGCTTCTCTCGCTTTTAGTTTTCTCAGAGGATTCATCTTCAAGATGATTGCTAAAATTTGTATGTGCATCTAAAATTCCCTGATAACAATTTAGCATTGTTGCTCATAAGCCAGCCCACCTAACTTTAGACAGCTGGCTAGAATATTTCCTTACAACTCATAGCTGTAAATGTATATTATTTATTGCCATCCCTCTCTCTTCTCAGTTTTCCCTATTTCTACACAACCGGCTTGATCCTGGTTTTTTCTTTGGCCTCCTTTGAATTACCTGCAACGTTTCCCAAGTTGAAAGGCTGTCCGTTTTCCCTAGTTGCTAAGCATCCATGTGGTGCTTATCTGTAACCCATCTGAACTCATGGCTTTCTGGGCTTAAATTACTGGACAGAAACCCTGACGAGAACACTGTCCTTTGGCAAGAAACACATTTTATGCAGAGGAGTGGAGACACCTTTTTGTGGCCTCCCACGTAAAATCTCTTTTTAAATAAAGCCCCAGAACTCACTCAATGACCAAAGTTCAAAGTTGACGGGTGCTTTTTGAAGCAAATTGAGGAGTGATTTCAGAATCTTTTAAGAATACTTATATCACGTTATAAATGTGTAGTTTCTAATACAGATGACTCGAGGGTGAAAGTTATGCCCACTTAGATGTGTGGAGTACTGCCAGCACAGGAGCTCAAGGGATGGCTCTCAGATGCCAATGAATGGGCTAGCTAGCTAGTCAGCATCCTGCTTCGACATAATGTGGGTGGTAGGACCCCTCCCAGGGGAGTCTGCCCAAGGAGGGAAGGGACGGGGCTTTGGCTGAGCAGTCTGTACCTTTAACTTGGGTGATGCTGATATGCAGCTAATTTTGGGAGTTATTATGACATGTTTTAATTGTAAGTTTATGAGTCTTCTTTTCTACCTGACTTTGCCTCTTTATATAAGTCAGTGATTAGCGCTGTGCTGGCTATGTATTAATAGTAAGTGAATGTTGAATGTGTGTTTTACTTTAAAGAAAATAAGTAAATAATTGATAGACCTTTAGCTGACACACACACACACACACACACACACTCACACTGAGTGGCCAGATTATTATGACCACCTGACATTTGTAGGCAAATTAGCTGTACAGTGCATCGTATGGGATATGGAAGCCGAAGGCCTGTTCGAACACCTTTGCTGTCTGCAGTTACCAAGATAAAACGTCTCCAATTTGCACAGGAACACAAGGATTGGACAGTCGAGCATTGGAAAAAAGTCATGTGGTCCGATGAATCACGTTTCCAGTTGCATCATGAAGATGGCTGAGTGAGAATTTGGGAACATGAGGGAGACTTTACCTTGCTTAGGTGGCCCCCACAATCACCAGATCTCAATCCAATTGAGCAGTTGTGGGACGAAGTTAAAAGAGCCATCAGACAGCTGGTTCCACAACCATCAGATCTCACAGAACTGGACAGTGCTATTCATCAGGCATGGTGTCAGATTCCTCGCATCACCTTTAACATCTCGTGGAGTCAATGCCAAGAAGAATCGCTGCAGTATTGAAGGCAAAAGGTGGCCCAATGAACTACCGATTGGGTGGTCATCATAATCTGGCCACTCAGCGTATATTGATTTAAGAGAGGAAGGGAGAGGTAGAGAGAGAAATATCAAACATGAAAGAGAATCATTGATTGGCTGCCTCCTGCATGCCCCACGCTGGGGATCAAGCCTGCAACCCAGGCATGTGCCCTGATGGGGAATCAAACCATGACTTCCTGGTTCGTAGGTCAGTGCTCAGCCACTGAGCAACACTGGCCAGGCACTGATATATTTTTATTGACATTGTACTTTTTCAAGCTTGCTAATTATTTCCCCTTTGTCTGTTATCTTCATAGCGTGTTCATCAAGATTTAGAGATGTTGCAATGTGCAGACATTTCCGAGGAAATTCTAAACAGTCACCTGCCTCCCCAACCTCCCCAAAGTTCTTAAGTCTGTGGTTAAAGCCATGGGTGCCTATTGAACGATGTGCCACTAGAAAGGACTTAGACAGTACACCTGTATATGGAACTTTCCACGGTCCACCTACGACAGACGAGCTAACAGACTTTCCCAGCCAGCCTGCTCTGTGCCAGCAGCATTTCCACCCTGGCCACTCAACCGGTTTATGAAGATGACGTCTTTTCACTGATACTTTTTTGATAGTTTTTATATAACCAAGTCCTTATTCTATTTGTAACTGAAGATAGTAAGGCACTATAGACGAATTCCCTGAAATAATATATTTGTCTGTTATCTTTCACTATTTCTACTTCACATTAATTTTTAGCTGTAGAATTGTTAAATTGATTCTTAATGTTATCTCTCTCCTTTTTTTTTTTTTTACTATTTGGTTTTCAGCTTTATTTAAATGTCAAGAGAATTTCCTGTATTAGGAACAATGTATGCCATTGCAGTATTAAAGATAAATGACTGGAATTGGCATGTGCTATACACATTTGATTATCTTCCTGTTTCCTTTAGTTCAAGGCTCTGAATACAAACACTTCATAGCCATTGCATCTCCCATTCTACCTTCAAATGATCACAGCCTCTCATCCTGTTAATTCTATACTATTTCAAGGACCTGTGAGGGATGGTTAATAGGATATTTGCAAAGTTTTTAATTTGTTAATGTCATGTGTATCCAGTTAGTACACCAATGTAAGTTACTCAATTTACCAGTGTATTTCAATAATTAAAATATTTTTATCCCTGTTTACCTGGACTTCTTAATTCTTTTTCAAAAGAACGCTTTCAAGGAAGTCATATACAACACTGTGATATATAGATACAATGTCAGTCTGTGAAGATAATGTGTAGATTACCATGATAAACCAAAATTTTTCACAAGAAGAAAAGCATCATCTTATATATTTGGTCCATATGACAATCCTAGGGACATCAGATTGATAAAAAAATATCGGCGGTAAGAATCACTAAGAAATGATTATGATGTACTTATGCCTGTCTCATATCCACAAGTCCATAATGGCATTTGGGTGGGCTATCAGCAGTTTATCCCATTAGGGACGTCATATAGAATGACTTTTTGAAAAGTTTTAATTTTAAGATAATTCTAGATTTACAGATGAGTATAAAGGCAGCACAGAGAGTTCCTGTATACGTTTCCCTCAGCTTGCCCCATTCTTAACATCTTACATAAACAGTACATTTGTCAAAATGAAGAAGTTGAATATTAGTACAGTGCTGTAAACTAAACCTCAGCCTTTACTTGGATTCTATTAGTTTTTCATTCATACCCTTTTCCTGTTCCAGGATCCAACCCAAGATTCCATTTCATTCTGTTGCAGTTGGTCATCCTATCTCCTGGCATTTTTTCAGTCTTTCCTTGTTTTTCGTGACCTTGACACTTTTGAAGCCTACTGGTTGAAATTTTGAGATATTTCCCTAAATTTGGATTTGTCTGCTGTTTTCTTATGGTTAGACGGGGGTTATAGAGTTTGAGGAAGAATGTCCTCATCATATTGTAGTATAATATGACGTCACCGAGACTTTTGCTGGCGGTACTAACCATGATCACTGGGGAGGGCTATCTGCCAGGTTTCTCCACTGAGGTTTCTGATTTTCTTTTCCTATCCTTTGTTCCTTATGGGTGAGTCACTAAGTTTAGACCACATTCCTGAGGAAAGAGTATCAAGGAATTTGTGGACATTGGTTAAAAGCACCACAGGCTGTAGTCAGTTTGGCTCAGTGAACGTTGGCCCGAGGACTGAGGGGTCCCAGGTTCTATTGCAGTCAAGGGCATGTACCTCGGTTGCAGGCTCGATCCCTGGCCCTGTTTGGGGCATATGCGGGAGGCATCCAATCGATGTGTCTTACATTGATGTTGCTCGATCCCTGGCCCTGTTTGGGGCATATGCGGCAGGCATCCAATCGATGTGACTCTCTCACATTGATGTTTTTCTCTCTGTCTCTCCCTCTCTCTTCTACTCTCTCTAAAAATCAATGGAAAAATATCGTTGGTGAGGATTAACAAAAAAAGAAAAGAAAAGCACCATGGTCATTAGTAAGTATTTTGGGGGAGACACTTTGAGACTGTTGGTCCGCAGGCCGACACTCTAGCCACTGAGCCAAACCCGTCAGGGCTGCCCACTAGTTTTAGCACTCCTCCTTGGGCGTTTACTACTGTGGTGTTCCAATGGTGGTTTTTACTTCCCTCATTTCTTCACATGTACTACTTGGAAGTCTTCTCTAAGGAATATTTATTTGTTCCTTTCCCCTATTTATTTATATATTCAAACATTTATATCTGTATGGACTCGTAGATATTAATTTTGTTTTTTAGATTATAATGCAGTCACCATTTTATCACCATCACTATTTTACTGCTCACATTGGTTGAGCTCTGACCATTGATAATTTTTTCAGGTTGATTCTTGACAAACTCCATCTTTTTTTTTTTTACCCTTGGGTTGTCTTCTAAAAGCAAGCAGGCCTATGAAATAAAATTCCAATTCAAAAGTTAATTGAAACATTCCTAAAACTTCACCAAATTTCATTATAAATGAATAGTGCTTTCCATATTATGACAAACCTTAATGTTTTCCTTCAACTAGACATTATTTAAATTTAGAATTTTGTGGTTATTGTATGTTAATCACACTTGCCACCCACCTACCTATGTCTGATTATAATCTTTATTACATATGGAGGAATCTTGAGTTAAAGACTAGGAGAAGAATAACTATTAACACAAAGATCGTTCCAAAGGAAAGGGAGAGATGTAGGTATATTTTCAACTGATATAGGGGCTACTTCCCCTTTGTTGCCTCAATTTTTTAATCTATAAAATGGACCTAATGCTTAGCAAGACTGATTTGCTGTTGAACCAACTTCTTGCTGAAGAACATATTGGAGTTGGTGTTGGGGATGGGGAGGAGTCACAAAATAAGTTCCTTTTGGAGCTAAAGAATAAAATCTATAACTTGGGATTTCCAAATTCCCTACTCAAGGGCGGTATATTGAGAAGGAGTGATTGAAGGAGGTTGTGTCCTTTAGGAACAAACGATTCTCCCACTTGTCTTCGGTGTTGAATATTTGGGGCTGGGGGATGGTTCTCTCTCCTTCCCTTCCATCTCATCCCACAGGCCTTCCTAGGTATCCTCTTCTCATTCTCCAAGGGCAAAGGGACATTCCATGCCCTGGAAGCTTAGTCCAGAGTATTTCTCCTTCTTGGAGTATTTTTCCATTTCTCTCCATCGTCCTGCAGGCTCTTTTTCATTCTAAAGCTGAGTTCCAATGTCATTTCCAGGCAGAAACTCCCTCTCCTGCACTCCTCTGCCACTTGGTTCTCATACAGTGCTTATCACATTGTTTTTTCAAATGCACTTTCATCCAGTTGCTCCAGACATAACACTGAACCTGTCCACTTCTCTCTATCCCTGCTGCCCCCACTCTAGACCAAGCCACCACCATCTGGTGCCTGAACCGTCTCTGATCTTTTCGCACAGAATAAGGGTGAGTGCAGAGTGGTACAATGGCGTGGTGGGCCCTTGTCTCTCATTGTTCAGTGAACATCTTGCCTGGTACACCCTGACCCCTGGCAGCCGCCCAGTGTCTGGCTCACAGGAGGGAATAACAACGGTTTATTGAATGTTGATGGAATAGAGTGCTTTCATTTGCTTGGCAACTTACCAGACACTTTCACATATATAATGTTTAATCCTCACAGCAGTCGTCTACACTTTAAAGTAAAAGGAAAATAGAAAAGTAGTTTGGATTAATATCTTCCTTAATAATCAGCATAAAATATGCGATAAAACTTTCAGTATTTAACATCTTTAAAAAAATTTCAATGGGCTAGCGTTAAGCCTAGGTAATGCATGCGTCTACTGCCCCCTAGTGGGATTAGCTTCTAATGGCAGCTTTATTTTTCCTTCTTATCGCCCGTGGGAGTAATCCCCATCATACTTCTATTAATATGTTCACAGATTTCAGGAATCTTCAGCAATTTCTTTACAAAGGCAGGGAGTCTATATCCTGGATTATTACATAATTATACCCAATTATTACCTGTGTATCTTTTTTTTTATTTTAACATTTTAATTTATATTCAAATGCTTAGGACATGCAGGAAAACTGTCACAAGGCTGTATGTAATCAAACATATACATAAAACAGTGCAAGTTTATTACCGGTAAACATACCGGTAATTCACTAAAGAAAACACACTCTATAGACTGG